CCAGCATGCCTTGGTGAGCAGTATATGCAGCTGGTGCATCGTGGTGATCAGATAGTCCAGTGGCTGACCAGTGGCAACAAGCTGGTGGCCTTGTGTCATTGTGTATAAGAGACTCTTGGGGAAGCATAGGCAAAGGAGAAGAAAACATGGATAGAAGAACGCTGAAAATGGACAGCCTGTCTCTGCCCTGAGGGTAAAGCAATCGTTGAAGACAAACTCATGTCAAACAGAGAGATATTTTTCAAGAAAAAAAAATACATGGTGTGAAGTCCAAAGGAACAAACAATAGTCCCCAATATAACGTTTCTCAAGAGGGTATGGTACATATTTTAATGATTAAAAAGATAAGGATAATAAAATATCAGGATAATAAAATACAGTTGCCAGCTCTTAGCCATTCACAGTAGAACACACTCAGATATTACCATGTGATTTCCTGTTTTAAAGAAGAGTCAATACAGGATATTGATGAGAGGAAATTTTTGATTAATATAAAGGTCTCTCTAAATAAACAGCCTGTGGAGATGGGCCACAGAGAGCCATGGGCGAGCAACGTTCTCAGATGGTGTTATGAAAAGGTGGTACCAGTCAGCGTGGACAGGCGGCTCGACACAGGTCAGAGTAGTGACTGGAATTCCTTTTTAGAGGCTATCAGTGTGTGATCAGGCTGTGGGATGGGGTGGTGGCAAAGGAGGAAGAGTAGATGATAATGGGGAAAAAAACATTTAAGAAATAGAGTAGAGGAACCTAATGGATGATCTGCAGAATGGGAGTATGAAAAGGTGAAGGTGCGCTCTTAGGTTCTGACTTGGGCATCTGAGCATGTGGTAAGGTCATTACTGTAAATATGGAAGAGAAGAGGAGAGATGCTAATTTCCCCTGGGTAGTATTTTATCTTGGGTCTCATCAAAAGGCTGTGATGATCAATAGAGTATTACTCTCTTTGTAGTGTTTTCAGCACAGAACTTAGCTTGGCAGGCACTTGGAGAAGATTTTGATAGTTCTTTGTATATATTAGGATGAGGCTAGGAAGAAATTTAAACAAAGTTATCAACTCCAATTTCATCAATCCATCCATTCACTTGTAAGCAACTCGGGCTTTGTGAAGTATCCTAACAATCCTAATCCTGACAATAGAATAATGTAACAATGTATACTGAGGGAGCCTAATCAATCACCTTTCTGCTAACTTCCTCATCTCTGAGTACTAAAAATTGATGAATAAACATAAGGATCCAATTGAGGATCAAAATAAAATGTTAGTTTTATTGATGATAAAGCTGGATTAAAAATGCAAGAGAATATTCTTTCTCTCTCTTCTCCTAAAACCTTGGAACCAGCAGCATCTTCACTTGCCCTCCCCCTCTGCAGGGGAGAAAGCAGGACGCTGATCAACTTTAGCCAGCTTATTTCCAGGCAAATAGAGAGAACTGCCTGAATCATCCATCCAGCAGTCTATCCTAATGGGCTCTCTCTAGAACATAGCATAAATTGATTTAATATCAAGAGTGCACTTCACTCTCAGCCAAAATGCATTCTCTAATCCATTTCTCACCCCAAATTATGTCTAGTCATGATATTCAGTGCAGCTCAACAGAAGCTATAAAATGAACACTCACAACAGTGTTAAAACATACAAAATAATATAATACCAACAAAATTAAACTGCATATGAATATCAGCTCTGAATATAAGTTTTTCTTCTTATTAAAATTTCAGAAAGACATTAAAATACAAATATGAAGTATGCTTTTGTTGTATATGAAAGTCCAAACAATTAGAAGTCCAAAACTTCTCCTCCACAATTTCATTTTGTCTTATTGTAAGGACGAGTGCCTTATTTGGTGGTCAAAATTCCTTTTTATATGGCCAATCTCTAAGTTCTCTACTGATGAAATTGGGTGAGGCTCCTTTAGTGCTTCCAAATTTGAATTGCTCCAACATGAAGGCTCTTAATTAATTTCCACTTTCCTAAGTGAAAAGGTACAACTTTCATAATACCAGCCCAGTACCTAAAAAATTAAGAACAAAAGCAAATTCCTAGCCAAACAGTGTACATGATATAATATCAACACAATTGCTATTGCAAGAATTATGTGAGACAACTAGTGGTTCTGGGAGGTAGGAGTGTAGACAGAGGCAATGTGAGAGAAAGGAGAAAATCTTGATATCAGCTCTGTCAGGGTGCTCATCAGTCTGTGCAGGTTGCCTAGAGGCCACACGCTGAGTCTGGATTTAGAATTCAATTGTGAGTAGCATCTTATGAAGAACTTCATGTGGCATTAAGCTGCCATATCCAGGGAAACAATTCACCTATAGATACATCTTTCTATCTTTGGTAGACAAATTTCAGAAATTCCCGTTGTTTGAAATATTCAGAAATTTACAGTGGTGACATCACAGTCTCCAGGTTTTACTCAAGGCTCCCTTCTTCCTTTGGTGTAAGTTTCATAAAGGTAGGGCCCATGTTCATTTTATTCACTTCCGTACCCCCAGATCCTAGCTATAGGTCAATAAATGTGTACTGAATAATAACACACAGCCCAGTATATGCTTAACCTACTAATTTTCATTCTTTTTGAGCCGTGTGTTTCTGTCACACCAATTATATATGAAGTATAGTCATTCTAACTCACCTTATAATCAGGTTAGCCCACATTTATAACTCTGCAAGCAAAATGTTTATGGCTTTGCACTCTCCCCAATTAAAATCTCCTTCATTCTACAGAGGTGATTTGCTCTTTGTTTGATTGTATCACATATTACTCAGTTTCCATACTCTATAAATGTTCCAAAACTGTTTAGAGGTTTGCCATGTAACTGTTTCTTGGATGCTTAGGTGAGTTTTAGACAAAGTTATTTCATACCATGTGCTCACAGATGATAGTTTAGGGAAAACCATGAAGATTTAATAATAATATTTTAATGGGCAGACCAATTATGTTATAAAAGTGTTCTGGTATCAGGCCATTTGACTTCATGGCTTCTGGCTAGTACAGAGTACAGGACAATTATGTTTTGAAAATATGAAATTCCATGCCAACATTTGTTGTTTTGGAACTTTTTGATAAAAACTGTTCTCACTGTAATTAAATGATACCACATTGTGGTTTCAATTTGCATTTCCATGATGATTAGGCATGCTGAGCATTTTTTTCTCATAAGTTTCTTGGCTACTAGTCTATCTTCTTTTGAAAAGTTTCTGTTCATTTCCTTTACCCACTGTTTAATGGGGTTGTTTGATTTTTTTCTTTCTGATTTTCCTGTGCATTCTTGTTAACAGCCCTTTATCAGATATGTAGCATGCAAATATTTTCTCCCATTCTGTAAGTTGTCTGTTCTCATGATAGTTTCTTTGGCTGTGCAAGAGCTTTTTAATTTGATCAGGTCCCATGTATTTCTTTTTGTTGTTGCTGTGATTGCTTGTGGGGTCTTCTTCATAAATTATTTGCCTAGGCTGATGTCTATAAGAGTTTTTCCAATATTTTCTTCTAGAATTCTTATGATTTCATGCCTTAGGTTTAAGTACATTATCCATCATGAGTTTATTTTGTGAGAGGAGAGAGGTGAAAGATGCGCTTCCTGTTTTAGTCTTCTACATGTGGCTATCCAGTTTCCCCAGCACCATTAATTGAATAGGGGTTCTTTCCCCCAGTGTGTGTATTTGTCTGCTTTGTCAAAGATCAGATGACAATATGAGGATTGTTTTATATCAGGGCTTTCTGTCCTGTTCCATTGGTCTATGTCTCTGTTCTTGTGTTTGTACCATGCTGTTTGGGTTACTATGGCCTGTAGTATAGTATGAAATCTGGTAGACTGATGCCTCCCAATTTGTTCTGTTTTCTTAAGGTCGCTTTTGCTATATGGGGTCTTCTCTGGTTCCATAAGAAGCGTAGAATTATTTTTTCTAGATGTGTAAAGAATGATGTTGGTATTTTAATAGGGATTGCATTGAATATGTAGGTCACTTTGGGTAGTATAGACATTTTAAGAATATTGATTCTGTTGATCCATGAGCACGATATGATTGTCCATATGATTTTCTGTTTATATCCTTTGCTATCTCCCTCCTCAGTGTTGTGTAGTTCTCCCTGTAGAGTTCTTTCATTAAAAAGTTCCAACACAACAAATATTGACATGGATGTGCAGAGACAGGAACATTCACACCACTGGTGGGACTGCAAACTAGTACAACCTCTGCGGAAAGTAGTGTGGAGAAACCTCAAAGAACTAAAAATAGAACTGGTATTTGATCCAGCAATCTCATGGGCATCTACCCAAAGGAAAAAAGACATTCTATAAAAAAGACAGCTGCACTCAAATGTTTATAGCAGCACAGTTCACAAATGCAAAGATATGGAAACAACCCAAGTGCCAATCAATACATAAGCAAATTAATAAAATTTGGTATATGTATCCCATGGAGTACTATTCAGCCATAAAAAATAGTGAACTACCTATTATATCATCCTGGATGGGGCTAGAGTCCATTATTCTAAGAAAAGTAACACAGAATAGAAAAGCAAATAACACATACACTCACCATTTATATTGGTACTAATTGATTAATGCTAATGTGCAAATATGGGAAATAACATTCATAGAGTGTCAGACAAGTGGGAGAGGGAGGAGGGGATGAGTAAATCCACACCTAAAAGATGCAGTGCATGCTGTCTGGGGAATGGGCATGCTTGTCGGGTAGTGCAAAGGTAATTTATGTAACCAAAGCATTTGTGCCCCCATAATACTCCAAAATTTAAAAAAAGAAAGAAAATATGAAATTCAAAAACAGCATTGGGGAGCAGCCGGCGCGTCCCCGCGCCCCTGCCCGGCCGCTGCCCTGCCGACTTCCTGGTCTGCAGGAGGCACCCGGGCTGAGCGGCCAGCGGGGGCGGCGGCCGCGCCGCTGCTGTCACAGAGGCGGGGGCGGGGCGCGGGGGCTGCGGGGAAGCGCCTGGCGGCCGACAGGGAGCCGCCGTAGGGCTGTGAGGAGCCGGCCTCCCGGCGGGCTGGCTGGCTGGCGGCGGCCGCGCTCCGCTCCGACGTGCAACCGTGGACCGCAGGACCAAGGCCAATCCAGAAAGAACCTTTGACTTGGTATTGAAAGTGCAATGTCATGCCTCTGAAAATGAAGGAAGTACTACAGAGCGTGCCAAAGTTCTGTTTCCCTTTTGACGTTAAAAGGGTGTCTCAAAACCAAGTTGGACAGCACTTTACCTTTGTACTGACAGACATTGAAAGTAAGCAGAGATCTGGATTCTGCAGACTCACGTCAGGAGGCAAAATTTGTTTATGCATCCTTAGTTACCTGCCATGGTTTGCAGTGTATTACGAGCTGCTGAATACTCTGGCAGATTACTTGGCTAAGGAACTGGACAATGATTTGAATGAAACTCTCAAAGCACTCTATCCCCACCCAGTACCAAAGGCAAACACTCCTGCCAATTTGAGTGTGCATTCCTGCTTCATCGCCCCTGATGCGACTGGGCTCCCAACAATGCCCGAGAGTGGGAACCTCGCGGAGCACTTTGTGGCGGTGGACGCGGGCACCGTGCTGCCGCTGCAGGCCCGCATGGCACACGAGAGCGCGTCCTCGTCACCTCCGGCAAACTGAGCGCTTCAACCGCGTGTCTGCACGGGTCGGCGGCTCTGCTGTGCCCGATGTACTGGCAGCACATCTACATCCCCGTGCTCCCTCCCCACCTGCTGCACTACCGCTGTGCCCCGATGCCATACCTGATTGGAATACACTCCAGCATCATAGAGAGAGTGAAAAACAAATCATCAGAAGATGCGGTCATGTTAAATGTTGATGCAAACACTTTAGAGTCACCGTTTAACGACTTGCACAACCTACCCAGTGATGTGGTCTCGGCCTTGAAAAATAAACTGAAGAAGCAGTCTACAGCTACGGGTGATGGAGTAGCCAGGGCCTTTCTTAGGGCGCAGGCTGCTTTGTCTGGATCCTACAGAGATGCATTGAGACACAAACCCGGTGAGCCCGTCACTTTCTGCGAAGAGAGTTGCGTCAAGCACCGCTCAAGTGTGATGAAGCAATTCTTGGGAACTGCAGTTAACCTCCAACTTTTTAAGCAGTTTATTGATGGTCGACTGGCAAAGCTAAATGCAGGAAGAGGTTTCTCTGATGTATTTGAAGAAGAGATCACTTCAGGGGGCTTTTGTGGAGGGAACCCGAGGTCCTATCAGCAGTGGGTGCACACAGTCAAGAAAGGAGGAGCACTGTTCAACACAGCAGTGACCAAAGCCACTCCTGCTGTGCGGACAGCGTATAAATTTGCAAAAAGTCATGCAAAGCTGGGACTGAAGGAAGTGAGGAGTAAGTTAAAACACAAGGAAAATGAAGAAGATTATGGGACCTGCCCTGGTTCTGTGCAGCACACCCCAGTCTACATGCTGCATAACGAAAAGGGAGGAAACGAAAAGCTCAGGCTTGCCCAGGCCCGCTGAAAAAGACCTCGTCAGAGCCTCGATGGTGCTCTGGACAACGAGGATGACGAGGACGGCGAACGAGCAAGCAGGGTGTCTTCGGAAGACGGCGAAGAAGCTTCTGCCTATTTCTATGAAAGTGACGACTCTGTGGAAACCGGAGTGAAGACGCCGTGCTCAGGAGGGATGGACTTGCTGGGAGAGATCCTGGGTACCCTGAGCACACACAGCTCGGACCAGGGGAAGCTGGCAGCCGCGAGGAGCTTGGACGTTTTTAGATCCATGGATGATATTGATTGCAAACCTACGAATAAATCCAACGCCCCCAGCGAGAGCAACCTGGCCCTGCTGGGCGGCGGCTCTGGCGGCCAGGCCGAGTGGCACCTGGGCCAGGACGACTGCGCCCCTCACGGCCGGCACCTGCCCCCGGCCCCCGCAAGCGGGTGTCCTCCAGCGGGCCGGGTGTCCTCCAGCGGGCCGGGTGTCCTCCAGCGGGCCGGGTGTCCTCCAGCGGGCCGGCCGAGTCCCTCTCCATCCTGCGGGAGGAGAGCAGCGAGAAGCCGCCCAGCGCGGACGCGGGGGTGGCCCTGCCGGGGCGGCGTCGGGAGCGGACGTCCACCTCGCGGCCCCTGGAGGTTCCTCGACTGATGAAGGAAAGATAGAAGAGGAGGAGACACTAAGCCAGACCTCCGACGATCCACTCTTACCCCGCCCCGGGCGGCATCCCTCGACTTTCGTTCCGTGGGAAAAAGAAGCCCAAGAGCCTCCGGCAGCCCCCGGACTGCCGCACGAGGTCGCGTCGCTGGGCCACAGGGCGTCCGACTTCCAGCAGAGCCCGAACTTTTCAGAAGAAAGCACGAGTGGAAACCAAGCCTGAGTCTCACATCCCAGCTTCTGCAGAGACGTTTCAGGATTCCCTGTGATCCGAACAATAAACAGAATTATTTGTAGGAATGACACCTCTTACTACTATTTAATTTTTTTTCCGTTGGGAACAAATGTTTCTCCCACTTGTTCATTTCATGGATATATGTTATCCGTTGATTTTTAAATATGAAGCAGATTATTCTACTGTGCTCTTTAAATCAGGTACTAGTCTGTATGTACATGTATGTATTGAACATATGATCTCCTAGTATTTGGTGCTTACTGCCATTCATTCTATTAAACTATGTATGCATAGTAAGCCATGCACCTAACCAGTCGCTACTGCACTAACCTGGTTGAGCATGAACTGATCAAAACTAGCCTGAAACTGATGAAACTGTCAACCCACTAATTGCCTTAATCTTAAAGCTGTGCTAAGCATACTTAACATAATTTATGAAATTACACGTGAAATCTGAAGGATGAGTTATTGGTGTTTGGAGCAATAATGACTTTCTATTCATCAAATCAAGGTCAAAAGTCATTTTTTTCAAGATTAAAAAGCTCTTTTGTAGAAATACTTAATTTGCTTATATGAGGGCATTGTAGCCATGTTCTCCAAAAAATATAAAGGTATACATTTACCTTGTATTCAGTGAAATATATGAAGTGCTGAATTATAATGTGAAGTTAATGACTTCTGTTTACAGGTGAGACACTTTGAGCATTTCCCGGTCTCTCTGTCTGCTTCTGCTGTCCAGGCATCTACCCTGCGAAAGCCAAACGCAACAAACTGTCCTGGCAAAGATTTTCCTTTTTTTTTCTTCAACTAATAATTCTCTATCAAAATGTTTCATGTCATTATCTCAAATTTACCTTTTAAAAATAATTCATAGGAAAATGACAAAGATAGTGCATAGAGTTCCCACACATCACTGTTGTTTCTCTGTTACCATCACTGTGCATTCGTGTGGACGTTTGTCACAACCAATGAGCCAGTATTGACAATAGTTCATACCTGGGTCACAGTCTGTTGTTCCCTGGTGGCTGTTTTCTGTCCCTAGATCCCATCCAGGGGTGCCTTAAGTTGTTGTGTTGCATCGGGCTCCTCTTGACGGTGGTGGCTTCTCAGACTGTCCTGGATTCTAGTGGCAGTTGAGGCCATCAGATGCTGTGTAGGGTCCCCCTGTGGAGATTTTCTGGTACTTTGCTCAGGGTGAGACTGGGACTGTGGGTTTTGGGGAGGAGGATCACAGAGCAAAGTGCTGGGTATACCAGGTCATGTCAAAGGCACGTGCTGTCAACGTGACTGTGAGTGTTGGAGTGCCTCGGTGACCCGGCTGAGCTGGCGTCTGTTGGGTTTCTGCACCTGAAGTTACTCTTCCTTCCTCCCTCCCTCCCTCTTCCATACGGCAGTTTCCAGAAGGAAGTTGCTGTGATTCCCTGAGGAGCTATCCTCCCCTCCTTTAGGGCAGAGGAGCGTCTACATGAATTATTTGGAATTCTCCTGCATTGGAAATCTGTCTCTTCCTTTCAAATTCACTATAGTCTTTGGAATTCATCTGAGCGGGACTCAGGTACTGGTCACTTCATGATACACTAGATTGACAGGTATGGTTAGGGAAAAAACAGTGATGTTATGGTTCATTTGTCATCAGTATGTATGTTCAGCATGTCTACTGCATACACCCCCCCATCTGATTATTTTTTTAAAATTATCTTTTTGGAAAACATGTTTGAGAAGCCATCCAAGAAGCCCCAAAAAGACTGTATTCTAAAATATTTGCTGAAAGAATATAACTTCATTTAAAATCTTAGAAGGGGGTTTTGTTAAAAACATTACTTAAAAATATGTATTGAGGTCAGTCTAAATACTTTAAAGAAAATGACCAAGTTTTTTAAAATCTACATTTCAAGATCTAAATGAATGTTTTATTTGAGATAGTTATTCATTCATGATTATGAAGAAAGATGAATCTTGTTTTCCTTACAAGGATAGACTTTATATATTAAGTAAAAAAAAAAAAATCCTTATTTTAACACAGAAAACAAAGCTCTTGTCAAATTTTGCTTTTTATATGATCGTTACAAAATTCCAACTTACTTTACTGAAACATATAACAGAAGTAGCCCATATATCAAAAGAACTGTTTTGAAACAAGGAGGAAAAAAGGTTACTCTGGTTGTTAATCTGCTTGCCAAATAATCTTCATAATTTGTGAAAAGAATGTAAAGCAGCCTTTTAATATGAATTTGGAAATGAAGTGGGTTTTTTTTTTTATTTCAGAACTCACACTCTGGAGAATGAGATAACGTTGAGTAGCGTAGGCCAAATTTGAGTTTCAGCCCATTTACATAATAAATATCATGGCTTCAGAAATCTAAATTCTTTTTCTATCTTTGTCACCTCACAAGACGTTTGGCTTTGGCTGTAACACTGTTGTTCGAGGATACTTAGCCACTCACAGAGAACATGATTGTCTCAAGGTATTTTAAAGTGATCTGTGCCTTATTTTAACATGCAAAATTTGCTGTTGTATTCCGTGTTAAAAACAAAAGCAAAAATAAACTCTCCATGTTATTCTTCAAAAACAAAATCCAGAATACTAACTAGCAAGTATTGATAATTCAAGTCATTAAAATTTTGAGTGTTCGAAGACTTCTCTTAAATTAGACTCCCCGGTACTATGGTGGTCATAGTGAGAATGAAGTGAAATTCGGGTGAGTTCTGAAATAAATGAAAGTGTTATCTTATTTTCTGCAATGCCCATATTTTCTACTGTAACTAAACCAAATATTTAAAAGCTCCTCTGCTGTTTGAAATTATTTTTCAAGGAAGCAATACCTGTTCTACAACAGAACTGTGTAAACTAATAAGACTTGTGGCTGTGGGACGTAGTCTTTTATGTGGCCCCAAAGCCGAGTCATGACTCCCACCTTTATCCTTCTGCCCCTAGCTGTTGCATTTCAGACAAAGGAGTAGTGTGTAGATTAGGGGCTTCTTGTTTTAGTGAATGTTGCTAAGTGGTATATTTTTGATAGCTACCCATTTTGACCTCTTAGAGCAGCACCAAATACAGCATGATTATTTTTCTTGATTAAATAAATTACTGGCTCCTTCATTTAAAAATAGTTACTGACTTTTGTGTCACTATATGCAAGGTGCAATAACTGAGCACGAGGGGAAGTAAATAATTGACACAGTCCTTGCTCTGAAGGAACAATTAAGGCAAAGGAATTGCCAATCTGTTTAAAATAGTAACAACAACAGCAAACAGTATACTCTGCTTAGAAGTTGTTAGCCCAGGATTCTAACAGTGAAAAAAAAAGTTTATTTTTATGGCTGCTTAACTGTAAGCATACTCTAAGAATGGTACCAATTTCTAACTTACTTTTCTCAATTATTATGCTAAGTATGATAATGCTGCTAAGGTATCCACTTTTTTTTTTTTTTTTTTTTTTTTTTATTATTTTTTTTATTTTTTTTTTTTTTCTAGTAAGGATCCATATGGATAAGGTATCCACTTTTAAAGGGCAGATTCAGACGCTCCGAGTGTCTTTGTTTATCTGAAAATCTACCAGAATAACCAGACGCACCGGCTCTCTATAAGGGATGAAGCTCCTTTCAGCGCATGTGGCCACTTCAACCCAGTGTAGGAATAAAACTGAGGAGGTGGATGCACGTTGATCGATCCAGTTTTTACTATCTTTATTTTGACAACAGCATTCTCTAGAAGACTGCCACTCCTTTTAAGTTAAATGTCTATGGCAGTGCTGTTATTAGGGCTCTCTGTTAATATCCTATTACTAGGATCCAGGAATGATAATGACTTGTTGTTTCTTAAATAGGTGTAGAAGTAAACTCCTGATCGAGAGGAGAAAATGAATATTCTCACAATCAGTAGACCTTCATTCTCTTCTAGAAATTTGGATTTTCAGGACAAGATTTTGATGAATAATTTTTCTAATATGAATTCATTTTGTTTGGTATGCATAAACGACCCAAACTGAGAAGATATTTGTAAATCAGAATATTTAAGAATATAAATGAATTCCAAATCTAGTTTCTCTGATCCTTCTCATTGTAAAAAATAGTTTCACAGACCTGCGTCAGTACTGGTACATTCTTCCCTATGTCAAGCCCAGTGATATTGTTAGTGTATGTTTTAAAGCTATTTAAGAGGCAGAATGGTTTTGAGCAACCAGTTAACCCTTATGATTTGGTGAAGAAATAAAGAATTATGTACATTTAGAGGCAATTTTATTTTGAAATAATAGGATTTGTGCAATATTTTTTCTTGCATCATTTAGTTCATACAAGTATGTACATCTGCTTTCCCGGCAGATGCCTTAAGCGTCATGTTTTCAGTATTTGCCTAAAACCGTATGTAGCAATGTTCTTTGTGATTTCAGAAACAATGTATTTCTTTATCTGTTGGCAGGAGAAATGTTCTTGTTTATTTAAAATGATTATGGATATTTGTTATTGTATCATAACTAACTGCCTCAGCAACAATGAATATGCAATAAGAAAATCCTGTACTTAGATTAGTGTTGACAGCACTGTTACTCTAAAGGAATGTATATGGTACAATTGCTGATTCTATGTGTGTACACTTAAGACACAAGTTCTGCACCACACAAATCAAAATGACGTTTGTAAGCTGATGACACACGTGTGGGTTGTGACATCCTTTGTGATGAATCTTTGCTAAGATTTATAAAGGCATTGCCAATACTTTTGACTGTAAATTAAGTTAATTTTTTGTATGCTGTACAGTTGTTTAACTTTAGAGCTTCTATAGATTTCTACTTTTATTGTACTTGAATGAGGCAGAAAAGTACTGTGCAAACCTGTAGCTCTGGATGCAATACACAAACATACCAAAAAAATAAAGCAAGGTACCTGAGCAGCAGTGTTAACAGAATGCTTTACATCCAGAAAGCTATTGGTTTATGTTTTTTTTTTCCAAGCCACATTTTGTTAAGTGAAGTGATTGAAGATATAACGATTTTCTAACTTAAAATATTGCAGAATCACAA